GGGGAGGAAATTTGGGAGTTCCAGAAGTGGATTTGTAAAAAAGGGGAGGAAATTTGGGAGTTCCTGAGGTGGATTTGTAAAAAAGGGGAGGAAATTTGGGAGTTCCTGAGGTGGGTTTGCAAAAAAGGGGAGGAAATTTGGGAGTTCCAGAAGTGGGTTTGTAAAAAAGGGGAGGAAATTTGGGAGTTCCAGAAGTGGATTTGTAAAAAAGGGGAGGAAATTTGGGAGTTCCAGAAGTGGATTTGCAAAAAAGGGGAGGAAATTTGGGATTTCCAGAAGTGGATTTACAAAAAAGGGGAGGAAATTTGGGATTTCCAGAAGTGGATTTACAAAAAAGGGGAGGAAATTTGGGAGTTCCAGAAGTGGATTTGCAAAAAAGGGGAGGAAATTTGGGATTTCCAGAAGTGGATTTGCAAAGAAGGGGAGGAAATTTGGGAGTTCCAGAGGTGGATTTGCAAAGAAGGGGAGGAAATTTGGGAGTTCCAGAGGTGGATTTCAAAAAAAAGAGGAAATTTGGGCTTCCTTGGGCTGGATTTCCAAAAGAGAGGAGAAAATACAGGAGTCTCTGACATGGATTTCCAAAAAAGAGAAGGAAATTTGGGGATCCTTGAGGTAGATTTCCAAAAGAGAGGAGAAAATTTGGGTGTCCCTGGGCTGGATTTCCAAAAAAGAGGAGGAAATTTGAGCGTTCCTGAAGTGGATTTCAAAAAAAAGAGGGAATTCGGGCATCCTTGAGGTGGTTTTCCACAAAGAGAGGAGGAAATTTGGGTGTCCCTGGGCTGGATTTCCAAAAGAGAGGCGGAAATTTGGGAATCCCTGAGGTGGATTTCCAAAAAAGAGGAAATTTGGGAGTCCTTGAGGTGGATTTCCAAAAAAAGAGGAGGAAATTTGGACATCCCTGGGCTGGATTTCCAAAAAAGAGGAGGAAATTTGGGCGTTCCTGAAGTGGATTTCCAAAAAAGAGGAAATTTTGGAATCCTTGAGGTGGATTTCCAAAAGAGAGAAGGAAATTTGGGAATCCCTGGGCTGGTGGCTTTGAGCCCAGGTGGGATCATGGATTGAGGTTCCCTTAGGGCCACCAAAAATGTCCTGGAATTGTGACACTGGGGTGTCCCCAGGGAGGATTGGGGAATGTCCATCCCAGTGTCCATCTCTGCTCAGGGCCACCAAAGTGTCCTGGACTTGTGACATTGGGGTGTCCTCATGGAATTTTTGGGATGTCCCTGGCTGGTGGCTCCGAGCCAAGGTGGGATCATGGACTGGGGTCCCCTCAGGACCACCAAAATTCCTGGAATTGTGACACTGGGGTGTCCCCATGGAATCTTTGGGGTGTCCCTGGCTGGTGACTCTGAGCTGAGGTGGGATCATGGATTTGGGTCCCCTCAGGGCCACCAAAGTGTCCTGACCTTGTGACATCCTGGTTTTCCTGGTTTTTCTCCTTCCTTCCTTCCCATCCCTTTGTGTCCGGAATCATTCCCGGCCGTTCTGTGCCGGGGAAAACCGTGATTAAAATCCATGGATGGAAAAATCCCCAAATCTCTGTTCAAACCACCCCAAAAATTCCCATGGGAAGGGCCCATCCCGTCTGGAATTTCTGCAATGGGATCAATGGGATCAATGGGGTTCCCTCGCAGCCTTTTCCCTGGAAAAATCCTGCCGGCGATCCCGATGGGAATAAATTCCCAAATAATGCTGGGATCAACAGGGGATTAACCAGGAACATCCAGGGGTTGTCACCCCCAAAAAAGCAGCTTTGGGAGAGGGTTGGGAATCATTTAGGAGCGGGATTTTGGGGGGATTTTGAGGAATTTTGGGAGCTGGGTATTGAGGACTTTGGGAATTGGTTTGGGAGATTTTGGGAGTGGGTTTGGGGGATTTAGGGAATTGGTTTGGGGATTTTGAGAGTGGGTTTGGGGATTTTGAGAGTGGGTTTGGGGATTTTGGGAGTGTGTTTAGGGATTTTGAGAGTGGGTTTTGGGGATTTTGGGAATTGTTTTGTGGGATTTGGGAGCTGGGTTTGTGGGATTTGGGGAGCAGTTTTGGTGGGGTCCAGGCCTGGATCTCTCTATCCTGGGCTCAGATCCACTTCCCAATCCTCTTCCCAAACCCCTGTGGGGATGGACGGCCTGTCAGATCCGACCCCTTTGATCCCGTTGGATCCCAGCCCTTTGACCCCTTCAGATCCCAAACTTTGATCCCATTGGATCCCATCCTTTGATCCCACCAGATCCCATC